GGTGCTCACCTGTGACGCTCAAAGCAAACCAGAGCCCACCAGCTATAAATGGAGCACGTAAGTGGTGATTAAGTCACGGGGACCTGGGACTGATTATGTGGGAGGTGGGCGGGGTCAGAACCCGCAGGTCTGAGAGTGGGGAGAATATAGAGCAATAAAAATAGAGTTGGGTATGGTGGTGGTGGCTCACACCTTTAATCCCAGCACTCGGGAGGCAGAGGCAGGCGGATCTCTGTGAGTTCGAGGCCAGCCTGGTCTACAGAGTGAGTTCCAGGACAGCCAGGGCTACATAGTGAGACCCTGTCTCAAAAAATAAATAAATAGGGGCTGGAGAGATGGCTCAGAGGTTAAGAGCTCTGGCTGCTCTTCCAGTGGCTCCTGGCTCAGTTCCCAGCCCCCACATGGTAGCTCACAACTTTCTGTAACTCCAATTCCAAGGGTTCTGATACCCTCAAACAAACATGCATTCAGGCAAAACACCAGTGAACATAAAATATAAATAAATTAAAAAAATAAAATCAAAACAGGTAGAATCATCTTATATTCCCTGCAAAAATTCCGTCTTGTGATTAGGGATTTTCTGAGGTGGCTTCATCCAGGCTGTGGTCTCTAGCTCTCCTGGACCACACCCTTCGGGATTCCCCTATCCTAGTGCACATTAAAGGTCAAAAGCGCTGGGACAATGACTGAATAACTGGCAAGTCCCTGTGTGAGGACTCCCTCGACAGAAGCAAACCAAAGATGGCATCCCCAGACATTGGTTCCCGACTGCCCCCTGCCAGCCATCTCAGCTGCCCTGCCCCCCTCCTTCCCTGAAGCCCGCCAGACATCCCAGTGCATGAGGAAGTGAGCCTCAGAGCTGTGAGACTAATTGATGTCCAGGCTGAGGGTGTAAAAAAGGGAAAGGGTGTTGAGAGATTTCTTAGTCGGGAAAGTGCTTGCACCCACATAAATAAAGACCTCATCTTTATTTATGACACCCTCATGTTGACATACATGCAGGCAAAACACCAATGAAAAAAAGAAAAGGGTGATTTTGTTTTTCAGTGGAGGCGGGAATCCAGGGTCTCACACATATTAGGAAAACACATTACCACTGAGCCATGCCCCCAGCCTCTCACTGGGGCATTCTAGGCAGGGGCTCTACCACTGAGCCACGCCCCCA